CCCACAGCACAATGCTCTTAAAGCCCCACGCTATCAAAAGCTGGCAAAATACATTTATTTTATTTTATGGCCTTGACATTAACCTGTCATATTGTTGAGTTATCAAGGACACTTCCGCGTTTTTGTGTGTATACAGGAATGTTAAAGATATCATTGAGGAAAACGAGGTTGACGTGACGTGATTGAATCAGGGAATCCCTGTGTCCACCACGGGAGAGGACCCTAATTGACTTTACATTGGCATTGTTTTCGTGGTGGCAGCACGTAATTTCAACCCATTACGTGCTGCCACCAAGGAATGCAGTGTTAAGAGGTCGTGTTCATTTCACGTATTTCTGTGACATCAGGTTGCATAATGAGGTTCACTGGGTTACATACCCACATGTCTGTACATAGACCAAAACCAAAACCTGGGCTTACTGACTGAATCTGGTAACCAGTGCTGCAGTTGGAGCTGTACAGAAGAATTGGGCATATTGTTAGGAGTGATAGGGGGATTACAGTTCCTCTTTCCTTTTCCTTTTCCTTGTCTTTCATTTCCTTTTTGGACTGGTTTCCACTGAGAAATAAAGGTATGGTTGAGCTATGTGTTTGTTTACATCACATCATTTAGGTGCGTATGCACCCTCTGGAGTTAGTTAATGAGGTGACAAGATTCAGGTGTGTGAGTGCGGCAAAGGAAAATGTTTGCTGCCATGTCATGAGGAGTCGCCCCGTTTTGAAAGTGCCGCTGAAGAGGACGACAGCCACACACACCCAGCCAAGCCACAGACTCTTTCAGAGCAAAACCAATTTATGTTTGTTTTCGGATCCATTTTAACTACAAAAAGCTGAACTATTGGGAAGAGCCAGGACGGAGCTCACCGCTCACCAGGAGCCACGGCCAGAGCTGGCGGTGCCTGGACTGACTGACCAACCTCTGAATGCACCTAGCCTGCGGACCTGGTAAGCTGGCCTACCTGTATTATTTCTCGTGCCTGGCAAACCAGTCCACTGTTACGTTCTTTCCTCCATATGTTTCCTTCAATGACACACTCCAGGTTAGGGCTAGCCCATCATCTAAGCTGTTGACATCCTTAGACTTGACTAGTCGGTAAAAATATGGAGAAACTGTTGTATCAACACATTCTCACTTTGACCTC